AGACAGAAACGACAAAATTAGATGTGTGGAATGAAGTGCTGAGGATGACACTGAGGCTAGCTAGCCTGGGTGACTTGGGAGGATGGTGCTGCCTTTGACTGTACTGGAAAAGCTCAGAAGGAGGAAAGGTTTGAGGGAAAAGATAATGAGTTCTGTTTTGGACATGCTGAATCTGGGATGCTATGAGACGTTCAGTTGAAGATGTGCAGAGAGTGATATAGGACTGTTAACTCTGGAGAAAGACCAGAGCTGAGAATATAGATATTAAGAATCATCTGCGTAGAGATGGTAATTGAACCCATGGGAGCCAATGAGATCACCAAGTAAAACATTAGAGTGAAAAAAAGGGGAGGGCTCAGGAAAGTCTTAGGAGATCCCCAAGATTAGTGGGCCTGACATGAAAAACCAGCAAAGGAAACTAAGGAGTGTTCAGACTGAGGAGAAACAGGAAACAGCAGTGCCATTGAAAATCCTCGGGAGAGAGTATCCAGGAAGAAAAGGTGATCAACAATGTCAATGCTTCAGAGAGGTCAAGAAGTGTAAGACTGAGAAAACTGTCCTTAAATTTGGCAATTCAGAGATCACTGATAACTTTGGAGAGGGCAGTTTTAATTGAGTGGTAAGGCTGGAAGCTAGATTGCAGAAGGTTTAGAAGAAAGTGAAAGAAAATTGGAGGAACTGAGTGTGGATGACTTTCTCAAGTTTAAGCCAGGAGATGAAAAAAGCTATTAGGACAGCTAGGTGGCACAGTGGATAGAGCACCGGCCCTGAAGTCAGGAGGACCTGAGTTCAAATCCGGCCTCAGACCAAACACCTGACACTTACTAGCTGTGTGACCCTGGGCAAGTCACTTAACCTCAACTGCCTTAAAAAAAAAGAAAAGAAAAGAAAAAAAGCTAGCATGAATGGCAGGATCAAATGAAGGTTAAGGATGGAGGAGCCAGAAACATGTTGGTAGGTATCAGGGAAAGATATAAAAGATATATATAAAATTATATATGTATTATATCTAGCTATATAAAAGGAAAAATAAAAAATTAAGATAGAATCTTAAATGGAAAATGAAAAGGTACTTTAGAGGTCATCTAGTACAATTCATTTATTTATACAGATGAAGAAACTGAGGGCCAGAAAGGTTAAGTGACTTGTCCAAGGTCAGGTACATAGTAAGGGGCCAAGCTAAGATTTAAACCCTGGTCCTCTGAGTTTCAAATGTGGCACTCTTTACAATATAGTGACTAAGTAAATATTTATGTTTTTATATTTCAAGAATCCATTAAGTTATCAACTATGTTAAACCCTTATGTCTTCCTTCATAGACTGTTTGGTTAGTTATTATAGCAAAAAAAGAAAAAAAAAAAAAAGCTCAAACCCAAAACATGCTTGTTAGCCAATCTTATGATGAGCAAACTTAGCTAGGCTGGTCTGTGGATGACAGCTACTGTGCGGATATATAAAGAGGCACTTAAAAAAATATCATAAGTCCCTCAAATGGCAGAAAAATATCCATGTTAACTTAAAAGAAGGCAGAGAATGGTTTACGTTTAGAAGCTCACCTGGAAGTAGAGAAACAGTCTAAACTACACGACCTCTTGAGAAGTTCTATGTTTCTTAAAGACACAAAGACACACACACACACACACACAACCAAGATCTAGCCTTAATAATAAATGCCCTAAATTTAATCCCACAGATTGAAAATTACTTTAAATGCTAATCTTCTACTTAGTAAGCTGTAAATTTATAGTGTGATTTAGTGGAAAGATAGCTGGCCTTGTCAGAAGATCTGGGTTCAAGCCCTATCTCTGACACAAATTGGATGTGTGACTGAGCAAATTCCTTAACCTCTCATTGTCCCCAGGGTAACTTTCTTAGGCTATAAAGTTAAAGAAGAGTTGCATACCTATATTGATAAGGGGGATTCCTCACCCAGGAGTACTCTACAATAATGAAATCATAGGTTTAGTTAAAAAAAAACCCCATAAAATTGTCATTAGTCTATTATCCTGATGGAGCACAGAAATAGTCCATATAATCATTCAGAGAATTACTTGAAATGAAATGCCCCCACTTAACAGGGTAGATCAGCATGCTAACTCACTATTGTTCACCACTATCTTTTGAAAAGAAATTATAGGTTACATTGGATTAGAATACCACTGATTAAAACGCACACATATGGATGTGGAATATGAAGCAATTATTCAAAAGAGAAAATAAACTTGTATTAAAGTGACAAGAATTTATCTTAAGATATTGGGGCGGCAGTCTGTTGCTAATAAAATGACATAAGATGGTATACTGTTAAACAGAGAAACTACATAACCAAATGTCTTTTTGATCAAATCCTGTGCAATGCCTACTGATACCTTCATCCAGTAAACATTCACTAAAAATGAAAGTCCTTGAGGACAGGGACTATTTTTTTGTTTTTGTTCTCCTAATGCCTACCACAATGCCTTGCACATAACAGATGCTTAATAGATATTTTAAAATTGAAATATATTTATAGTACTGATTACAAAAATCAAGACTCACAATATATACTTTACCTACCATCCACATAAAGTTTAAGTAAAAAGCCCCTTAGCTTAATATTATAAAGCTGCTAATCTCTTCTTAGCTAAGAAAATAGGTCCCAAGAATGCCCAAGATTACACTGGTAATAAGTAGCAGGGCTGGAATTTAAACCCCAGCTTTCTGACTCCATAGTCAATGCTTTTTCTAGAACTCTTATGTTTCTTCTGTAAATTATTAACAGCCACTACTTCTGTATTGCCATACGTTACACAGAAATAGGAAACAGAAGTTTGCTGACCTATACTAGAGCATAGAGTCTTAATAGAACAAAATTTTAAGTCTCAAAACTGGCTTTTTTTTGTGAGGCAGTTGAGGTTAAGTGTCTTTCCCAGAGTCACACAGCTAGTGAGTGTTATGTGTCTGAGGATGGATTTGAACTCAGGTACTCCTGACTCCAGGGCTGCTGCTCTATCCTCTGTGCCACCTAGACGCCCTGGTAAAGACTTTAAAAGTTGCTCTCTTTGGTGTGGCACAGTGGAAAGGGCACTAAACTTAAGAGTCTCACAGGATCTGAATTAAAATTCCAGTTCTGCCAATTACTGTGACCTTGAACATATCACATAACTCCTCTGAGCCTCAATTTCCTCATCTGTAAAAGAAGATAGGAATGAATTAGAAGCCTCTAAGGTCCCTCGCATCTCTAGATCTACAACCCTAAGAAAAAGTAGGGTTATATGCTAAAGGTAAATACCACTTAAGTAGTCAAAACTTACCTACCTTGCTACTATATTACCTGGCATTACAGAAGAAGTACATTGGAGCCTCTTTAAAAAAAAATATATATATATATACATATACACACACACATATATACACACATACATATACATATAAATATCTATCATTCACACTATCTTGAATACTATCCAACTAGGTTTAATTACTAAAAGTACTAGAATAACAGTCATAACAGTAGCTAGCATTTAGTTTTTTGATACTGTATCTCATAAAAATAAGGTAGGTTCCATTATCCTTATTTGTAAAATAAGGAAATTGAGGCAGACAGAGGTTAAGTGATTTCCCCAGGGTTACATATAGTGTCAGGACATATTTGAAGTTAGGTCTTCTTGACTCTAGGTCTGGCTTAGCTGCCTCAAAGGACTTTTTACAAAGTTCCTTACAAAAGGAACTTTTGCAGTTGCAATGAACCCTTCAAAAAAAAGAAAAAAAAAAGACAATAATACTATAGCTGAGGAAATAATGGCATAACAGGGACTTTAAAACTGTGAGCTCCTTGAGAGCAGGGACTGTTTTTACCTTTCTCTGTGTCCCCAGAGCTTTATTTAGCACAGTGCCTGACATATGGTGTGGAAACGCAATTGATTTGACTTCTGACTCCCGATCTAAATACAGTAGAGACTTCAAAGGTGGTATTATTTTAAAACCACTTATGTTAACTATACAACTATGAAGGTGAATTGTGATTTCTGAAGATACTTAAAAAACCTCGGGGAGCTGATTATTTTGTATGCTTTAAAAATGAACACCTACGAGGTCTAATATTTATGCTGTGCATCTTTAAAGGGAGACAAATTTCCACTACTTAACTGGGGAAAACGCTTAATAACACATGATATAAAACTCACTGAAACATTCACTGTTTGCTTCCTTTTCAACTTCTTTGGGTCAATGTGTGCCACTACAACATCTGGACATTGGGCTGCTTCAAGCCTACGAGTGAATTTTTTTAAAAAATGATAATTAGAAAGACTTTTTTTCGTTTCCAGGTTAATTCGTCCCCTCATTTGCATTTCTGGTCGGAGCAGGAGTTTGGGGAAGTCCGCTGGGCCGACCCAACCCCGGCCAGCCCAGGCTGCTGCTCCCCGGCCCTGGACGTGGCGCCCCCGCCCCCGCGCCGCGCCCCGCCCCGCCCACGTCGGCCCATCCACAGTGCGGAAGCCACGCGGAGGCGACTCCACCCACGCCCCTGCCCTGAGTGGGGGAGGGGGGGAAGCGCTTGAGGCCCGAGGCTCCGAGCCAAGCCACTCACTGGACCCGTTTCAGGTACTCCTGGGGCGTCCGAGGTGGCACAGAGGGGTCGAAGTCTTCCGCCAAGTCGCAGGGTTCCACAGGTAAGAGGCGGGGCATCAGCTCCTCCACCGCCGACTCCATAGCGCCTAGACCCCGAGAACGCGAGCGTAGTGAGCCGCGGGAGAAGGCCGCGCAAGCTGCCCTCTGCACATGCGCAACGTCCAGGCCGGCGCGCATGCGCGCAGAAGAGGTCGGTTCTGCTTCCTCTCTTCCTTCTGTCGTTTTCCCCCATCCCTAGAAGGAGTGGTCTTCCATAGAGTCCTGTTCATGGATTGGTTCCATCTAGCTGTGTTATAATAGAGTCTAAGGGAAGCGGGTTCCATTCTTTAAATTCCTTGGGGTTTCTCATTGTGGTTGTGTGTGTGTCCACAGCGAGGCAGGAATAGCTATCTCCAGTCTCCCCTGCCCACTTTTCTCTTAGGGAGACTAATTCCTGCCAGGAGGGGAAGCAGGAGATTGGTACCAGAGGCTGGCTACTCTGCTCTCCTCAAAAAGAGATGATAGAGACTAAAATTATATCCATGTTATTGTGTTTCAGTTGTGTCCCACTCTTCCTGACCCCATTTGGAGTTTTCTTGGCAAAGATACCGGAGAGGTTTGCCATTTCCTTCTCTAGCTCATTTTACATATGAGGAAACTGTTAATTAAGAAAACAGGCAAACAGGGTTTAAGTGACTTACTCAGGGTCACACAACTAGTGTCTGAGGCCACATCTGAACTCAGGTCTTCCTAACTCAGAGGCTGACACTCTATTTACTGTCCCACCTAGCTCTCATATATATATACATATATATCCCTAAGCTACAAATACATATAAACATATGCACACATGTACATAGATTTACATATAGCTCAGGGCTATATATATGTGTATGTGCTTGTATATATATATATAGCCCTAAGCTACTATACACATATACACAAAATATACATATATATGCATACAACATATGCCAAGGCTTAGCATATATATATGTATATATACATATACGTATATATATGTCTGTTTCCAAGAGTTGACATGTGTATTTAATCTCTATTTCTGTCTCCAAGGTTTGACTTCCTTTCCACTAAATGCCAGTTCCGCAAAGACCATACCTAACAAAGAGCAAATAAATCCATTTATCCATGCTGATAGCAAATAGAAATCAGAGAAGGTATACGGAGGACCTAGACTACATTGAGTGAATGAGCTCTGATATTAAGAGAAAGATAACTCAACAAAGAAAGAAATAGTTCAAGATCTCACCCAAGGGGAAATTTCCAGAAGTCTCTAGTGTGATAAAATAAGATAAGGACGTGCTCATGGTACCAGTTCTTTGAAGTTCTTCTGAATCCTTCTCACTCTTCAGAGACTTCTCCTTGAAGACAGTTGGAACCAAATGTCTTCTCTCAAAGGTGGAAACCAGAAGAGGAGGTTCTCCCTCCAAAGCTCTGACCAAACCTGCCCTTCATGGCAGACATGGAGTATTGAGTAAGCAAGCTGTGCCAGGGAGCAAAGCCTTATGCAAATGGGCTTTGAAGCTGCGGTCTAAAAAGTGTGCCTACTTCAGAGGAATAATGATGTTAATTAAGGAGAACTTGGATGAATGAAGGAAAAAATGTATTTAAGTGCTTATTATGGGCAAAACATGTCCCCAGGAATCAGCATGGTATAATGGAAATAGCACTAGATTTGTAGTTAGAAGATCTGACTTCTGTCTAGAATGATCTGTAAGGAATTGCGATTCCTTTATTCTGGATGAAGACACATGATACAGTGGAAAGAAAACAGACTGTAGAGTTAGAGGACTTGGGTTAAAAATCTCAGGTGTGACGCCATCTGACTACTCTAGATTTAGATTTCTTGGATTTCTATAATAAAAAAAAGCAAGGAATAAGTAGTCAAGGTTCAAGCAAATTTTCATTAGTCAATCATATATCCTTATCATAGGAATGGGGACAGGGAGAACCGTGATCTCTGTCTTGCCTTTACTGGATCTGGTCTCTAGACTGTTGGTCTCAGGAAGAACTGAAACTACTTGCCTAGACAATCAGTCTAGGTCCTGATGGAGGAAGTGTCACAGCACCTTGCAATGAATGTGGTGCTCCAGCTACAGTGTGTGATGGCCATCCCTGATTCTTAAACAGTTTCTATCTAGGTTACATTAAATTGTACACAGTTTGGACCAATCATAATAGTTTCCATGTGTGAATTTTATCTAATCCCAAAGCTTATTTCTTAATACCTTGTTTACATAGTGGTCACTGTTCTAATGTTTAGTTTGCATATGCAGATCACACTCCTATTTAACATATTTAACTATAGATAAACACTTTTCACCTGAACTTTTCTGACATGGATCAGAAAACACATTTTTCCCCCCAAGACAGTAATCTTGAGCAAATCACTTAACCTCACTGATCCTCAGTTATCTTGTGGGAACAGTGAGGATATGTGTCTTGGCATGATAGTCATAGGAACCCTTGATTTGCTATATTAGCCCACCATGAATCTGAGCACGTGCTCAATGGCAGCAGCAGTACCTGCCTCCCAAGGTTGTTGTCAGACTCAAAGAAGATACTGTCTATAGAGTACTTTGCAAACCTTAGGACACTATAAAGCATCAGTTATCATCAGGGAGCAACATATGCTTTGATGGGATGACAGCAACTCCTTGAGTCTAGGCAGCTGGGAGTTGTTGTCAACAATAACTGGACTTCAAAAGTTTAGAGGATAGACTCTAGATATATTGTGAAGTTGTAGAAACAGTTTTCCTCACTCTTTTGAATCCTTTTCTGGTGGAATTCTTTCCCTCCTGTGGATTTGCAGTAGAGAGAGGGAAGATCTCTCTTCACTCCAAGTTTTAGTGGTGGCTACAAGGATATGGTCATAAATCTAGAATGAAACTTGTAACCCCTTCACTTGACAAATAAAAGAAACTGAAGCCCAAGGAGGTTAAATATTTGACTTGCCCAAGGTCAAACTGATAGTAAGTACCAGAGGTAGGATTTGAACCCAGATTTTCTAACTTCGGAACCAGTGCTCTTTCCACCATACTGCTCCAGTGAATTTCTCTTGCTTTGTTATTTTCTTCCCTAAGCATGAATTAGCAACCAGCAATCCTGAGAAATGGACATTTCCAGCCTATGTTTCAAGCAACCTCTTGGATAGTCTCTGAGTTTGAGATTCAGGTATTAGCTGATCAAAGGAGAGCTTCACAGAATAGAAAATGGTTATTGCCAGCACCATTCTTCCATGAAGGGCTAATGCAAGCCCAAGCCATGCCCTGGCTGGCCATTATACCTAGAACTTGTGAGTTGCTTGGAAAATCCAAGTTTGAGGTGAAGGTATAATATCTGGTTCAAAGCCCTACAAAGTTGTCTTTATCTTTCTGGGGGAGAATAATGCATATAATGGACTAATTGAATGGATTATATTTTCTATATTTCTTCATGTGCATATTTGAATCCTTTGTACCTTAAGTATTTTATATGATGGAAGAAATAAATATCATATTATACTTGATATCATGTACATTGAGTATCTTTTCTAGAAGGTAGTCTGTTACTCACATTTTGGGGGGAACCTAGACATGAACCATACCAAAGCGTTGTTTTAGATATTTTTCTGGGATTACTCTGAGCTGGTAGAGCAAGAATGAAAGCAAAAATACACCCTTCCGCCCCTACTCCTTCCCCCAGTGAATCTAGATCTGTACAAGCCCAGAGCTCTCAGACAAGGGATGACAGTGATACTCTATGTGACATATTGCATATAAGCTACTGGTGCATTTCTGACATGGGAAATTCATTTTCACACAGAGCCTGAATACTGTGCTATTCTTAGAGAGAGGGAATACCAGGCTAGAATTATATTAGTCTGTTCCCTTAAATACTATTAGTCTAGGAAGTGGAATTTTTAGGTTCAAGCTAATTTCTTAATTGCTATTCATTAATAGGGAAAGAAGGACCCCCCCAAGTTTTATATCCAAGACTTGACCCTTTTCCTACCAAATACCAGTTCCATAAGGAATGCATGCAACAAATAGCAAAAACAAACAAACAAAAATTAAAAAAAACCATTATTGAAGTTGATAGAAAACACAAACCAGAGAAGGCATACATATGAGAAGGTATACTAGGTAATACAGATTGAAGGAGCTCTCCCATTGGGAGCAAGATAATTCATCTCAACCAAGAGAGTGCCAGATCTTGCCCCAAGGAGTAATTTCCCAAAGTTTATAGTGTAACAAACTGGGAATGAGGACATGATCAAAGTTCTACGTGGCACCTTCTTGCCAGAGTCTTTCTTTGTTTATGGTCCTGAAGAGATGTCCTCACATGCCTTCTCTTTCTATACTGGAAGTTATAAGTAGGAAGAGACTGAGGATCTCTGTTCTCTCCCCTCTCTACAACTCTGGCCCTCATGTGTTTTCAGGGCATTGATCTCCACATTGATGAGAAAGTCCCATACCAATGGGTTTTGGGGTTCAAGGTTACATTTGTACTTCCTTTTTTTTTTTTTTTTTTGGTAAAATAGATTTTAGTTCTGAAATAGTGTGAATAAATGAAAAAATAGTTCAAAATTGTGATACTGTAGGAAACCACATGACATAATATGCTTAATTCCTCACTGTCTCCTCCCTCTCCCCCACATGCATTCAGCTGCCAAGTCCTGTTGATTCTATCTTTGTAATATCTCTTGTATAGGCCCCCTTCTCTCTGACACTGCCACCACCCTGGGTAAGCCTTCATTCTCAGACTCTTGCAGTCACCTATTGGTCAGTCTCCTTGTCTCAAGTCCCTCTTCACTCCAGTCCATCTTCTGCTCAGCTGTCAAATTGATCTTCCTCAAGTGTAGGTCTAACCATGTCATCTTCCTATTCAATAAAGTGCAATGGCTCCCTGTTACCTCCAGTATCAAACACAAAATAATATGTTTGATTTTTAAAGCCTTTTGAACCTGGCCCCTTCCTACTTTAGCAGGCTTCTTATACCTCGCTCCCCTCCACACATTCCACAATACTGTGACATGGATCTCCTTGGTGTTGCTTTCAAA